CGTTGCAATTGACCACTGTCCCGTTTGACCACGAGCACACACATACGCGCGCGCGCGCGCGCGTGGGGGGTGAGAGGGGGTCCTTCGGCCCCCCTGCCCACACCCACCCCGCCGGTAGGAAGCGTGGACCGTGGTCAATCGGGACCGTGGGCAATTGCAACGTGGTCAATCGGGACCGTGGGTAATTGCAACGTGGTCAATCGAGACCGTGGGCAATTGCAACGTGGTCAATCGGGACCGTGATCAATTGCAACGTGGTCAATATCAACGTGGTCACACACAACGTGGTCGATATTAACGTGGTCAATCGGGACTGTGGTTAATATTAACGTGGCTAAACGGGACGCTCCCAGCTGCTTCATTTGGTCATCAAGACTTTGTCACTTTGGCTGAATGTTCTGGCGAATAAGCGAACGCGGACAATGAGCGGCACATGCGGAGAGGAGTCGGACTCCCCTTGGGAAAGGGGGCCCACAAAAGGCTTATTAACTTGAGGATGCATGTGTGTCGATGCGAACTGGAGCCGCATTAAGCTAAGACTCCATAGATGCGTTGAGCTGCGGCAACGCGTGCGGCAACGCAATGCGTTCGACTCTATTGGTGCGTTAAGCAATCGTGACACCGCATTGACGGAATGAACACTAACCTCAAACATAGTACAGGACAGGATCTTACATGATGAATGATTAATTCATTCAGACTCTCACTAGAAGATTGATTAGAATCCGAATCCATATTAAAGAGATCCGTATCCACATATAATCCACGAGCGATTATGAGGGTTATGTTTGGCGGTTACCGTCTTGCCGCTGCGGCAAAATCAACAAAATTTGATTTTAACGCAAGATTGACGCAGGCGACTTGCGGCAGTTTTCTGATTGGTCCATATATCTGCCGCACGGCGTTGCCGCAGCTCAACGCATCTATGGAGTCTTAGCTTTGAGCTCCTTCCTCCAATCCGAAGGTGACGGCCTCCCAATTAAGCCGAAGGATTGGTATATGTTTGTGTATGTGCCGGTTGCCATGGCGCGGAGGGATAGGGTGGGTGGCCGCACCCTTCTCCCAAAGTGTCCATGGGCCGCCCGCGTGGCGGCGCCCGCAGCGGTGCCCGTGGATCAGGACCCCTGAAGACCCATGGGTCGGCATTCGTCCTCCTCATGGGCTAGTAAGGGGCTAGAGGCCAGTGTCGGGATGCCTATCCTCGGCCCATGCCATATGTCGGTTCCTCGGGGGAACTCGATTCTCCGCCCTTCGGGCGGAGAGGGCACGCCCTAACCGACGAGCCGCTGCAGGTAGTGGGATAAATTAAAATGCCCTTACACGGGGAAAATGGGGGGGGGGGATAAAGCCCGGAAGGGGGAGTCCTTTGTGCCTTCTTCGAAGGCGTCGGGAGGTTTCTTTTTCGCACGGGCCCTTAAGGGCATCTCGCCGGAGGCCTCCACCTCTACAGGGGGTAAAACCTTTGCGGAAGGTGGTGGGCCAAAGGTGGATGTTCCTTCACTTACAGGTATGGAGGATCCAGCCGCCGGTTCGTCCATAGACATAGAAGATAGACCCAGTATACATGTTCCCAACGTGTCACGAACATAACAGACAAAGAGGCAAAATAGAGTGGCCGCAGGAGGCATGAGAGGGAGCGAGAGACAAAATATTGTCTTGCGTAGACAATGTTTTGTCTCTCGCTCCCTCTCATGCCCCCTGCGGCCACTCTATTTTGCATCTCTGTCTGTTATGTTCGTGACAACTTTTCTTAAGGAAATGAATGGGCATGCTAGGTCTAGCCTCTATGTCTATGGGTTCCTCTGGAATAATGCTGAGGGAGAAGAGGCTGGCAAACACCGACCGGCTCAGCCCATCTGCCGAGGAGGAGTCGGTGGATCTGACGGGAGGCGACGACTGCGACGACTAGAGTGACTCGTCAATGGCGTCGTCCTCTGTTTCCGCCGAATCGGGGAAAAAGCGCCGGATTGAACGCAAGGTGAGTGCGAAAGATCATTTTCGCGCTTTGCGAAGTCTCGATCCGCGGAGAAAGAAGTCCACCACGGGCGACTATGTTGGTTTAGCAAAGGCGCAAACCATTACTAATCGCCAACTTCGAGAGGAGCTCAACCTTCTCGCGGAGAAGGGTGCTTTAGATCCATCGGTCAAACCGGGCAATGTGCGCGCGATGAAGACCTTTAAGGCCTTGGTGGAGTCACTCACCGACAATATTCGCGTGCGTTCCAGCGGTGAGCTCATGGCCTCCTCGTGGAGGCTGTTGGCACGGTGCTGAAAGTGGCGGAGAAGTCCTCCAATCTAAAGGAGGGCTTTGTTAAAACCCTCAGGAACTCGGCCATGATGGTCTCTGCGGCGGGGGGGGGGGATCTTGATTGAGCGTTTGTCTCAGTCGTCGTCCCCCGAGCAGAGGGCCAAAGCGGCGAAAAGTTATATAGAGGCACAGAAAATAAGATTCCAACTTGAGGATAAAGTCGCCTCCCTGAAGAAAAGAATCAAGGAGTTGGATGACTCCTCTGCCATGCCTTCTCCGGCCGCGCCGGACGGAGGATCCGAGGGACGAGTGGCCCTTCTCGATGCCGACCTTGATAGGCTCGACGCCGAGAGGGCCAAATTAGTTGATGGGGCCCGATGGCTCAAGGCCGAGAGCTGTCGAAAGCCTATCAAGAATAGAAAAGGAAAACTTCCCACCTCGATATTCCCCCTCCCTCGGATCCTCGGTCCGTCCTGGAGGAGCTTGGGGTCCTCTCGGACGCTCCAGTGGACCCCGAGTTGTGGGCGTTAGAGGGGGTCCCAATCGGGGGACACCCCTGTTGTTTGAAAGGAGCCTGGGACTGACCCCCAGCGTTCGTCCAACGCTTTGGAGGCGACCATTCGCCGCCGAAGCGGTTTACCGGGTGACGGGAAAGTTCGGCTCTCTCGTGGGCCATCAAGCGGGAGATACTGCTTGCAGTACCCTCCCGCTCCGAAGCCCGGTTAACAGCGGTGGACGCTGGGATGCAGTCTCAGGCCGAGAGGAAAAAGAAGAAGGGGCGAAAGGGGGATGGGGGATCGGTTGCGTCGTTGCCCCTGATCCCTCCGACATCCCCCGTTCGCGCCCCACCCCTGCTCCCTCTACTGCTTATAGCGCGGAGCCGTGGAACAGGTTTGTGGAAGAGTCGGCGCGCGTCCGCGGTCGGGACGACCGCGAGCGTCAAGGAGGGCCTGACACGTGCGGGTCAGAACGCCCAGGCGGGGGCTGCCCAGAAGGGTGGTAAGAGGAAGCCCACCAAAAGGGCGAGGGTTAGGGTCCCGTCGGCTGCGGCGGTGACCCTCTCGGTTAGTGAAAGTGGGCCCAGCTTGGCCGAAGTTTTGGCCTCTTGTAAGGCCAAGATTCCTTTGGCCGCGCTGGGCATCACCAACCTTCGTATGAGGAGGACCCATGAGGGTGAACAAAAAAAGGTTCTAGGAGGCTCGTCCTGCTCCGAAAGGAGGGTAGGCCGGAGGACTCTCCCTTAGACTCAAATGGCCCCAAATTGAAGAGTAAAGTCTATGCCAACAAGCCTACCACCATCCAGCAACTCAAAGACGAAATTTCACGCCACATTGAAGAGATTCAGGAGCAGTTGTGTCGAGATGTGATAGCAAATTTCGATAAGCGGATTGACGTGTGCCGCCGGAGCCGTGGCAAACATTTGGCGGACATTATCTTCCTTACTTAATTGTAATGGCCTACCAAACATGTTCTATTAAAGAAATTTTCATTTTTGTACACCACCGATTTTTAATTCACGTTTAACATCATTCCTTCTTATTGAAACACCCTTTATGACAGAAAAATATCTTTATCTATTACAGATGGGCGAAACTCATCTAATGTCCACTTTTTGGCGATGGCACACTCACTGTTGCATAAAAATTTATTTCTATGGCTCTATTGCTTCACAGTAAAAACTATACCCACTTTACCCCACTTTCCCCTACCTAAGCACCGAATATTTCTCAGACCGCTTTCTTCAGAACTTTGTATCAAAGGGTTTTTCGGGTCACTGGTTACGATTTTAAAGTCAGAATTTGTATTTTCATCATGGCTGGTCAAATATAGCGGCCTAAAAATAAAATAATCGTTATAATTCTATTAAGATCATTATTAGGGGTTTTCTCGGGTCACTGATTATGACTTTGAACTCAAAATTCGAAAATTCAAAGTGGCGAATTCAATATAGCAGGTAGGATGTCGAGATAAGGCATGATCCAGCCAACTAAGGCAAGATGGAATTTGTTAATATTAATAGCGTTTTCGACTGGACCAGGATTAATCGCTCCGGGAGCGATTAATGACGTCACGAGTTTTGTTTTAGGTTACTAGATAAATAACCCAAATGCAACCCATACCATTGCGAATTGATCCATCAGTGCTAAGAAGCTACGTTAGGTTACAATCAGGTTATACGTGCGTGTTTATTGTGGAACAAAGCATTCTTTGCCGATAATAACGCGTAAGTTTACCAATAAACATTTCGATTTTATCATAAAATTAAAAAAAATT